CATCTAGAGAAACAGTTACTTCTTCTTATATTTGAAGTTACTTTCATTAGAGTAGGACTCTTTTTTTTCACTTCAGGATATAACTATAATATTGGTTGAGTAGTGCATTTGGCTTTGCTTCTAGGCATGTTTAGTGAAGACTGTATGATTTACTTGCTTATAAACAGCCTTAGTGTGGTGGCCTTCTCAAATGCTGGTTGTAATAGTGGTGTACTGATCAGGTGAGCAGGCTCACAGCCTCCTAGATAGCCAGGGTAGCATGGCTGATAGTAGTAGCAGAGGTTGCAAGATGCTCATCTTCTTCCCAAGCACTATGCATTTGTGTCAGCAGATGTTGTAATGAGCTGTTTGGGTCGACCTCCAGGCCAATAGATGGCACTTGCTGGTGACAGCCAGCTGCTGTGGGAGCAGTAGGGTTTACGTTTTATCTTTGTTAAATAGGAGAAGAATTTGGGTGTCCCGGAGGATGGAATAGGCTGTAGAACTCTCAGTGGTCTGTGTTCTGCACTCTGCTTCTTAGGCAGAGAAGGGAAAGCTGGGAAAGGTGGGCCAGGTAAGTTCACACTCAGGCCTCCTAGAGGTAGGCACAAGCACTGGTCCCAATGGGGTTTGTTAGGCAGTCCTCAGGCCTCCAGAAAAGCACCCAGCAAGGAATGGAGCAATTGCTGCTGTGCCAAAGACATAGGAAGGAGGTGCAGCTCCACCTGAACAGCCTAGAAAGTGGCAGTGTTCTCAAGCTTCAGACTCAGCAGGTCTCGCTTGGCTCATGGCTCAACGTCAGCACCAAGTCTGGACCATTAACCAAGTCAGACGCAGTTTGGTTTCAGTCAGCAAAACTACTGTCTCAGGCCATAAAACTCACTGCCTAGCCCAATACCACACCTCCTAGGCAAATATCCATCTGCTCTGGTCCCATTAAGGAGTGAGGAGTTTGCCAATTGGAGTCTATGCAGCTGGGGCCCATGCCACACATGTATCTCAGTTCTGGCTATAGGGGACCCTCCCCTGCTTTAAACCAAATTGCCAAATGCCCTCCTGAGACTCTCCAAACCAGTGACTGCTGCCCCTGCCAGCTGGAAGGTTACTGTGAATTCGTCTATGAGCTATGTTCAGGAATGGCATCCTTCTATTGCTGTGCATATCTGGGAGAACCTGAAGAGCACATCAGAGGGCAATTCCTTCTTATAGTCTCCCAATTGCTCCCAAAGTCATATTCAGGGCCTGATAGGGTCAAGGATCTCTCTCATGGCCTGGATTTCCTGGCTCTTCAGTGGGAATGGGTATCAAGGAGATACTGTCTCCCCATATCATGTACTGTGGATTCATGCGTAGTTTTCCACTGGACCCCACCATGTAGGCTTCTGCTTGCTTTATTTTTTCCAGTATCTGAAGTTTTCTTTCATTTTTCTGTTGAACTGACAAGCTCCTTCTTGTATAAAAGTTCACAGTGTGAACCTCTACAAACTATTCTGCTATTTCCAAGCAGGTGCAGCAAGTTGGCAAAGCCTCTATCTTGCCTTCTTGGAAAAAAAAAAAAAACCTGAAGAATATCTTTTAATATTTAATTCAAGAAAGTTCTAATAGCAACAAATTCTCTCAATTTTTGTTCATCTGAGAAAGTCTTTATTTCTCCTTCACTTTTGAAAGATAATCCATAGGTTCCTGAATTCTAGATGATTGATTTTTTCCTCCCAACACTTTTTATATTTCATTTCACTTTCTTCTTGCTAGCATGGCTTCTGCAGATAAGGTGGATATAATTCTTTTATTTCCTCCTCTAGAAGGTAAGGTTTTATCCCCCCACCAGACATTTTCAAAAGTTTTTCTTTATCATTGTTTCCATAATTTAAATATAATGCACCCAGGTGTAGCATTTTAAAATTTATTTTGCATGTTGCTCTCTGAGATCCGTAGATCAATGGTTTGGTGTCTAACATTAATTTGGGGAATTTTTAGTCATTCTTGCTTCAAATATTTCTTCTCATTTTCTTTTAATTTGTCTTCTGATATTCTTATTAAGCAAAAGTTACACCTTTTACAGTTGTCACGTAGACGCAGGATAGTCTGTTCCATTTTTTTTTCCAACTTTTTTCTCCTTGCTCTTCAGTCTTTAAATTTTCTGTAAAGACATACTCAAGGTCAGAAAAACTTTCTCCAGCCATCTTCAGTCTACTGTGAGCCATCAAAAACATTCTCCTTTTCTTTCATAGTGTTTTTAATGCCTAGAATTTCATTCTGTCTTTTTTTCTTAGAATTTCTATCTCTCTGCTTTTATTACCTATCTGTTATGCATATAACAGATAGGTAATGACAGACATGAATGCTGTCTACTTTATTTATTAGCATCCATAAAATATTAATTGTAGTTACTTCAAACTTCCAGTTGTTCACATTGAGAAAATGGAGGTGAATTTTTTTTTAATTCCCCATTGTTAATTCCAATTTCTTATCACACTGGGTTGAATTCTAATGAATGCTATGTTAGTTCAACAATGTATTTGCCTTTTAGTATGTCTTATAATTTTCTCAATAGGCATAATAAACTTGGTAAAAGGAATTATGGTAATTAGTAAGAAGTGTTGTAATAAGGTGGGGGGGTGGATTTGAGGCTGGAGTTTGGAAGGTGAACAAGAGCTGAGGAAAAAATTCTAAGAAGGCAAGGAGGGAAAGGACTGGTGCTGGAATCACTGACTCAAGTTTAGTGACGGACCAAAGTATATAAAAGCCCAGTTGAGCCAGGAAGAGAGAGCAGCATCACGCACACACACACACACACACACACACACACACACACACACACACAGCTTGGTAGGTAACAGCAGCAGTTCCCAGAAAAAGGCTGAAGTTTCAGAGTCTAGGCCCAGGAAGCTCAGTCTGTTCTTGTACAATCTGCTAAGAGTCTGGGTGCTACTGAGCCAGTTAACCATGCAGAACAAAGCCAGCTCAATGAAATGCCTTCCTAAATGATCATGTAACAACACAGTTGTGAATGACTTTGAGGTGTTTTGCAAGAAAACTTAAAGGAGGATCTTCAATATCTTCAATATGCAGGATCTTCAATATCCTAGTACATGGCTTTTAGAAGGATTGTAAAAAAGCAGGTACTGGGACCTGAAGGACTGCCAGGTGAGAGTTCCTACTCCTGACTAGTTCTGTACTTTTTATTGGTTGCCCTCAAGCTGATAGCCAGTCAGAATCACTGCTCCCAGGGCCCTGCTTTGAAATCTCATTGGCTGCCCACACTCAGTCGGTACTCTCCTATTGCTGGTGCCAAAAGTTTGAACTTTTTATTTGTAACTTGCTGTTATTGAAATGTGTATTCTGTTGCTGCTGGATGGAATGTTCCATAAATATGTGTTAACTCCACTTGGACTAAAGTATAGTTCAAATCCAAAGTTTCCTTCTTGATTTTTCGTCTAGCTGATCTGTCCCATGTTAAAAGTGGAGTATAGAAGTCTCCTACTCTTATTTTATTGCAGTCTCTCTCCCTTCAGATTTATTAATATTTCCCCTATATATCTAGGTACTTTGAATGTTGGGTGCATATACATTTACATTTGCAATAATTTCTTGATGAAGTAATCCCTTTATCATTAATAAGACTTTGTCTCTTTTTATAGTTGTTGACTTAAAGTCTATTTTGTGTTATAAATATAGCTACCTCTGCTTGTAGTTTTCTTTTGCATGGAATTATCTTTTCCCATCCCTTCCTTTTCAGTCTATGTGTGTCCTTAGAAGTAAAATGAGTCTCTTATAGGCAGTATATAGTCTTTTTTTTTTTTAAATCCATTCAGCCCTGTCTTTTGACTACAGAACATAATCCATTTACATTTAAAGTAGTTAATGATGGGTTAGAATATACTACTATCATTTTGTTAATTGTTTAGTGGTTTTTTTGTAGGTTCTTTGTTCTTTTCTTTTTCTCTTGCTCTCTTTGTGGTTAGGTGATTTCCCGTAGTGATATGTTTTCATTTCTTCTTTTTTATCTTTTATATATCTACTACAGGTTTTGCCTTGTGTTTACCCCAAGGCTTACTTACATTCATCTCCAGTATGATGAATATTTTCCTTTCTCAAAGGCTTTACCTGATAAAAGTTCTGACTAGGACTCGTGGCTCACTATAGTATGGACATGAGTTGTTTTTCAAGGAAGGTAATGAAATTTTACTAATCTATATTATATCAACCATTTAAAAAATCCAATCGATAGTTAACAGCATCCATGGATGCGACTGGGAAGCAGGGAAAAGGTGGGGAAATGGAACATGAAAAAAAGACTTAGAGTCAAACAACAGAAAAGGGGGAAAAAATTAAATTGTATAGGGAAATGCTGAGATCACTGATAAGCTGGCACCTGTAGCTTCAGCATCCTAAAGCTGACTATTCCTGAGACCGTCCCCGAATGCCCTCTGGTGGCCAGTAGTACATCCTTCCACGCCGGCATACTAATAACAGCAGCTGTGTGACTGCACAGGTTTCAGTCCCATAAGGTCAGCCCTATATACCGGGGTACAGTGTAAAGCAAGAACAGACGCCGGCCCTGCCTTCACGAAGCAGGGGGTCTCAGGAAAGAGGTTACGCGCCCACAAATGGAAACAGGTCGATTAACACCGCGAAAGAGAGGAGAGAGGGTTTCTGTGAGGGAGACGAAGCTTCATTAACAACCTGGCAATCAAGAACGGGAAACACATTCCAGGTGGAGGGACCAACACCTTTTAATCTACGTTGTAAATAACAGGGATCCTGTGTCCTCACGCTTGGTAAGGAATCTCCTAGTGAGGAAGGAGAGAAAAATGAATCAAAGTCGGGGGGCTGGCGGGATAGTGAGGGGATCTTTGGCTTTCATTTTAGGAGGCAGGGCCTGCCACCTTCGACCACCTGAGATCCTAGGGCAGGTGCGAAAACCTTGACGCAGCCAGCACGTCTGCCCTTGACGTTCTCGCGAGGCCTCCACGCGCTGGGAATTCCACAGGTTTGTGCGCTCAGCTTGGCGCAGGCGCAGACAGGCCTTTGGGCAGGCCGACCGCCATTGCAGGGCACGGAGGATTCGCCTGGCGTCGCAGGGATGCCGCGGCTTCTCTGCTTGTGCCTGCTGTGGCTTGGACTCCTGCTGGTTAGGTTTTCTGGTGAAGTGAGCGACATCAGCAGTGCTAGGAAGCTGTGCGGCAGGTACTTAGTGAAAGAAATAGAAAACCTCTGTGGCCACGCCAACTGGAGCCAGTTCCATTCCGAGGAGGAAACCCCTTTCGGACGGGTGATTGCCAAGGCCCCGGAGAAGGTCGAAGCTTTCATCCCTGACCGGTTCGAAAGCCCCCAAACCGCTTTTCCAGTCTGGAGTAGAGGCACAAATCCAGGTAAAAATCTGAAGTTATGTTTGTTAACGTCTTATTCCTGCATTTGCTCTGCCAGGAGGTAAGCTTCCCCAGGAAGTGGAACTTCTGCCTAGTACATGGCTTTTAGAAAGATTGTAAAAAAGCAGTGTAATGAAAATATAGAAAACTTCAATGAAGCACTTTTTTTTTTTTTTAAACTTAGAGGAACTTAAGTGGAAATACGTGTACATCTGTAAGTCTACATATTTATGTAAGAATGTTGTTCCTTTCTGGAGTGCCCTTGTCATCTGGCAAACTCCGTTTTGACCTTCAAAGCCCACCCTAAATATCATTTTCCTTGTGAAGTCATTATTGACCTTTTCATAGCCAATAGCTACGTTGTCCTTTCACAGTATCTAGCACATAGTTCTATTAACTATCGTCACTGGCTACAGAATCAGCCCAACCTTTAACAAGATAAAAATGCAGAGTACCTTGTTCAAAAAAGCAGGAAAGGGCCATTAAAATGAAGGTAACAAAATAGAAAGCTTTTTTCCTTTCTTGTTCGTATCCCCTGCTGATGTACCAGAAGATAGGCCTGGTCCATTCTCCTATCAGGCTTCATTTAAAAGTTCACGTACTTGTACTTCATTCACTTACAGTTTCAGAGGTGAATTTATTGAGAATTTCGACTACAATAGAACATTTAACCAAATGCAAGGCCTGTGTGACTGCACAGGTTTCAGTCCCATAAAGTCAGCCCTGTATACCACACCATGTTATAGGGACTGTCTAGGGACTATTTCATGCATATTTTTGTCTGAAATGCCTAGCAGACGGTCTAGTACACAGCATGCGTTTATTGTATTGAATTTATACTTAATATTTTCAAGCAGTCTGAAGGAAGAATATTCTTGTTTCATACTCATAGGTATAATTTTACATGTTCATTGGTATGGTTTTACATTTTGTGACTAACACATTTTAGTCCCAATATGATTTGCCATTTTAAAAGAAATTGCACTTTGTTTATAGTCTATCCATAGGAAGAAAACTATTGCCTTTTACAGTAATTTGGTTGATTTGATTTGGACAAAACTTGGAAAAGTGAAGATTTCTGAAATTAAAGAACTGAGTAAACTATCATGCCAAAAAGAGACCCTAATGTAGAGTATTGAAAAAAGTCAAACAGTTCACATTGTAGGCACTCATTAACATTTTTGGAATGAATGAATAGAATTTATAAAATCACTGTTGCTAAGAGAATGAAACTTTTAAAGACGGAAACCATGAGCCTGTGATTTTGATCATTTTCAAATCAACCCACATAAAACCTCATCTTGTCCTTCTCTTACGGTGAAGGAAGTGTCTCTCACAGTCTTCTACTTGTGCTTTAGTTCAGTGACTTTCATATTTTAATTTGCATATGAATCACTTGGGAATCCTGTTAACTTACAGACTCTGAGTTGTTAGACCTCTGGGGTGCGGGCTGAGATTTTTCATTTTTAACTAGCTCCCAGGTGATGCTGATGCTGCTAGGTAGTGGCCCACACTTCTGAGTAAGAAGATCCAGCTTACTGTCTTTTTTTTTTTTTTTTTTTTTTTTTTTTGAGACTGAGTCTCACTCTGTAGCCCAGGCTGTAGAACAGTGGCGCTATCTCTGCTCACTGCAACCTCTGCTTCCTGGGTTCTAGTGATTCCCCTGCCTCAGCCTCCTGAATAGCTGGGATTACAGGCACACGCCACCACACCTGGCTAATTTTTGTATTTTTAGTAAAGACAGGGTTTCACCATATTGGCCAGGCTGGTCTCAAACTCCTGACCTCACAATCTGTCCTCCTTGGCCTCCCAAAGTGCTGGGATTACAGGCTTGAGCCACCACACCCGGCCCATCTCTCTCTCTTTTTAAACTCCTCTTTCTTATTCTTTTCTCCCAGGAGTGCAAGGAGAGCCTTCCCTTTCTGTTTCATATTGGGTGGGCATTTCTCTCACATCAAATACTGTGCCCTCTCTACCTATGCTATAATACTACAGTCAAAATTTTGTTTTCAGACCTCCAAGCTTGAGGTTGTTAAAGAAAGGTTGAAATGCCTTTTCTCAAAATCTGCTCTACAGACAATTTCCTTAATAAAAACATTGAACCTTAAAACTCAGCTGATTAACGATTCCTTTATTGTAGGTGTTATTCACACTTCCCTGGAAGAATAAATGTCATTAATTCAATGAGCAGGGAGCTGCAATGAAGCAAGACTTATAGAAAATAAAAATATATCTGACAATATTTGAAAGTTATTATACCACGAAACCTGTTACTAGGGAAACTAAAGGACAGTTTGCTGAAATGGAAATATTACGTAGCACTAAACCCACAGTTATATTGAAATATGTAGAGGATGGAAAAATGGGTTAGGTTATCAATATGCATTGTATTACAGTTTTTAAAATTATTAATCTATAAGGGAAGATGACATTTATTCTGTCCTGTTAATTTCCAGAAAATAATTTACAAGTTGCAGAGATGTGTGTGTTTCTAATATAGAATACATAATTATGCCATCATTTTTATATACAAATGTGGCTGAAAAGTTGATTACTTTTTATTTCACTTTTACCAACAGGACAAGTTGTGTTAGATCAAGTCAGTTGTCTGAAATGTTAATATCCTGATGATCTAGTTGAGTCTGACATAGAAAAATATAATTTGGTACACTGCTGTTTAAAAATGCCTTTTTTCAAAGTTACTCATACATAACTTGAATCTATAATTATGTGCTTCTTGTTAACGGATCCTGAAGGTGTAGACAGTATCTCCAAGACCTACCCTAGAATGTGGCAAGATGAAGTTGACATCATATTTCTAAATTATGACTGAACATTGTGCTTCCCAGATAGTAGTGCCGGGTGAAATCATTAATGTTTCAAAATCAACTTTTCATAATCCATAACCCCTATTCCAGTTAGATTAATCATATTCCCATATTCTAGGTCTTCATTTCATATATTGTGTTTTTGTTTGTTTGTTTATGTTTCAGATATCATCATAGCTAGTCTGTAAAGGACCCTTCTCTTTATACATTAGTTCAACAAAATTTGAGTACCTGTTATGTGTTAGTCATTCTTCTTGGTGCTTGGGATGTCAGAGTAAACAATGAAGGCTCCTACTTTCATGAAGCCTACAGAATAGTAAAATAAATAATAAACATAATTGTAATTTACAGAAGATGATTGTCCTCACTATTCCCCTTCCTCCACTCCCATTCTCTTCCTCTCATAGGCAGTTGTTGTAATGTGTTTATTATATATTTTTAGTATAAGTTTTTGCAAATTATGCATTCTTTCCTGTGCATATGTTTTTAAGATATATCTAAATGGCATTTAAGATCTGTATCTTATTGTTGCCATGTGAACATTTAGTCCATTGCTTCTAACTACGGCATAATATTCATGTACATTCCTAACATTTTACTGATTTATTCAGTTATGAACACATAAACTATATAGCCCTGAACTCCTGCCATTATAAATAATACAGCCATGAACATCACTGTATGTGTCCCCTTGTGGACCTGGAATTGTTTCTGGAATACGCACCTAAAGTGGAATTGCTATGTCATGATGTACGTGTATGTTTAATTTGCTTGAAGAGTGTCAGATTACTCTTCAGAATGACTACACCAATCCTTTGTCCTATGCCAGCAATTAGCATTATACAGTTATTAACTTTCATCAGGGTAATAGGTGTAAAATGGCATTGTATTTTTATTTTAACTTGCTCTGTGTCTGAACACCTTTTCATATATATGTTAGCCTTTTGGATTTTCTCTTAAAATTTCCTGTTTATGTATTTTTTGCCTAATTCTTGTTGGAATTGTTATTTTCCAATTGATTTGTAGGAGTTAATGAAATATAGATACAATAATAACTAGTTGATGGTTTTAGATGTCACAAATATGTTCTCTCATTTTGACATCTGTCTATTGGTGTTGCTTGACAGAAAGCCTTAACTTTTCTATAATTAGGCAGTAAGTGTTTTGCCTTACGTATTAGAGGTCCTTTTCTGTACCTCTGTTAACTTTACAGTTTTACTTTTCACATTAAGTCCTTAATTCTTCTTAGGCCAATTTTTAATTCTGGTCTAGGGAGGAATATTATCCCAGTTTCTCAATAAGTCTTATTTTTCTCTACATAGGGAGCTAGTTTTCTGAACCTTTTCTACTAATTAATTGTTTTTGTCACTAATTTGTGGAATAACCTTTATTGATAAGTTTGAGCTTCCTATTTTATTTAATTGGTCATTTATTTGACCTTGTATCATTACTATTTTTGATACTATCACTCTATAGGGTTTATCTGGCAGGACAAGTCTTCAGTGTTTATTTTTTTTCCCTCTAAGATTGACTAAGCTAATCTTCAACCTTTATTCTTTCATATATATTTAAAAGTATGCTTATTGAATTTCTTTTTTAAAAATCCACATGGAATTTTAATTGGGATGCATGGAATATATACATTAATCTGAAGAGGACTGACATCTTTTTTTCCTTCAACTTTTAAGTTCAAGGGTACATGTGCAGGATATGCAGGTTTGTTACATGGGTAAATGTGTGCAATGGTGGTTTGCTGCACAGATCATCCTATCACCTAGGTATTAAGCCCAGCATCCATTAGCTGTTCCTCCTGATACTCTCCCTTCCCCCAGGCCCTCTGTCCGGCAGGCCCCAGTGTGTGTTGTTGCTCCGCATGTGTCCATGTGTTCTCATCATTCAGCTCCCCCTTATAAGTGAGAACATATGGTGTTTGGTTTTCCATTCTTGCATTAGTTTGTTGAGGATGATTGTTTCCGACTCCATCCATGTCCCTGCAAAGGACATGATCTCATTCTTTTTTATGGCTACATAGTATCCCATGGTGTATATGTACCAAATTTTCTTATCCAGTCTATCATTAGTGGGCATTTAGGTTGATTCCATGACTTTGTTATTGTGAATAGTGCTGCAGTGAACATATATGCTTGCATGTATCTTTATAATAGAATGTTTTAC